TGGTTTCAGTAAAGATCCAGTGGCTGGGGTTAGTGAGATTGAGGGATTTCATAAGAGAATGACATTCAAAGACTTGGTGCCTTAGAACTCCAACCTGATAGTAAATCTGTGCCCAAGAGTACCCTTCACCACAGGAAGAAGGGGCCACTCAAATATTAGCCAACCTTTGAGATGAAACTGGGCCTTGATGGTTCACCCAAACCACCCCCAGCTTGTGTGTGATCCTGGGCCTAGGCAGGTAAGGTGCCAAGCACAAGGCCCAGCTATGTGACTAAGTAAAACTGACTTCCAGCAGAGATTCCCACCTCTGTGATCTGCAACTTACTGTCAAAAAAGCCTTTCCTGTACCACAAGGTCATCAGGTTCACCTCCCTGTCCCCTGGTCATCAGGCTATAGGTATCTTGAGAATCAAAAGGTTGAGCCTTGCCGGGCGAGGTGGCTCATGCCTGTAATCCTAGCACTCTGGAAGGCCGAGGCGGGCAGATTGCTCGAGGTCAGGAGTTCAAAACCAGCCTGAGCAAGAGCGAGACCCCATCTCTACTATAAATAGAAAGAAATTAATTGGCCAACTAATATATATAGAAAAAACTAGCCGGGCATGGTGGTGCATGCCTGTAGTCCCAGCTACTTGGGAGGCTGAGGCAGAAGGATTGCTTGAGCCCAGGAGTGTGAGGTTGCTGTGAGCTAGGCTGACGCCATGGCACTCACTCTAGCCTGGGCAACAAAGTGAGACTTTGTCTCAAAAAAAAAAAAAAAAAAGTTGAGCCTCCAAAAATTCCTAGTACTAATTTGGAAAACAACTGTGGGGGGGGCAGGGGGGCGGGGGGAAGCGAGGGAAGGAGGAGATAGTTTGCTCAAGGTAACAGGCACTGTGTAGGGCACTTTTTATAATAATTTTGTTCATACTAGCTCTGTTAGGTAGGGATAATTCCCACTTTACAAATGTGGAAACTGAAGCCCCAAGAAGCCCTAGGTCACAGAGTTAATAAGTGGCAGAGTAGTTCTGGAACCCAGATCTGTCTAGACACATAGCTGGTGCTCCCTCCATAGCTGACCACAGCCATCTATCACGCTTGCCCTGGCATGCTTCTTCCTCACTGGGGCAAGGGCTCTGCCTGCCCCAGCTCCACTCAGAAGGGAGAAGGGGCAGTGGTAGGAGTTTGTCAGGGTGAATGCATGGGAACAAATTTCATAGCTTACAGAAACTCTAACATCCCTGAGCTGAAGAACAAAGGAGCCCTGAGAAGTTCTAGCTAGGCTGGCAACAGTGTGATGCAAGCCTTGGCTACATCAGCAAAAGTAGAAGATTTAAAATGAGGGAGGTGACAGCACCTGCCACTCATCAGACCATACCTGGTCTGTTCAGTACTCAGTTATGAACACACCATCTCATCTCAAGATCACACCAGATAAACTAGAGAAACTTTCAGGTGAGAATGGCCCTGAAACCAGTGTAAGACCAACACTATAGGTCACCCATCCAGCCATTCCTCCCATTCTCTCTTGCTGGCCAAACCCTGCTTCCATGTCACCCTATCCCCCTTCCTGCTGCTGCTAACATGTAAGAGGGGGAAAGCTGGGCTCTTCTCCAGGCCCAGGAGGAAGCCTGAATTTTGACTGGTCATCCCATTCCCCTTGACAGGGTTTTGTGTAGGGTGAGCACTGGATACAATTTTGGCTATTAGATGTATGGAGAAGTCTGCTTGGGAGTTAATAGGGAAGGTCTCCTAATCTTAAAAAGGGACCCCAGGCAAGGACATAGTCTTTTCTTCTTCCCTTTAAGTGTTGCCTTGTGATTTGGTGGAGCTGCCCTAAACAAGCCTGGGAGCAAAAGCCACCTTGACTAGGGTAGCAAAGCAGAAAGCTAAGAGAATATGGGCCCTCACGGTCTCATTGAGCTACTGAACCATCAGCCCTAGAATTACACAACCACCTAACTTCAGGGCTCCTTGTCATCTAAAATAGTAATAATCCCATTATTGTTTGAGCTACTTTGAAGTAGGTCTTCATTACTTAGAGCCAAAAGCTATGGCTAACTGATCTACTATGTTTATGAGGAACAAATGAAAGATCTATAACTTTTGGCCTGCAAAAGAGAAGACCCTGGAGGAGCAGAAAGTTTTCAGATATTTAAAGGCCTGTCCTTCAGGCCTTCAACTTGCTTCTTGTCCAGGATCACAGCTGTAGGAAGCAAATCAACCTGTGACAAAGGGTGGGCATTCTACCTCTCAGGACTATCCAAAGATGAAATGTGTTATTTTGGCAAGTAGTGAGTTTCCTATCCCTGTTCTTGGATGATCATCAAAAGAGAAAGTTGTAGAAAAAGTCATGTTTAATTAAAACATCTTGTGTTATAAACAAAAAATCTTTTGGAAAGATTGTCTATAGACTGGATTTTTCAGAAAAAAGATATGGCTAATGTTTTCCTATGGAGATGGAGAAAAAAGGAGAAGAGAAGGCTCGAGCAACTAAGGTAGGAGGCAGGCAGGACAAACACATCTTCACTACTACTGTAAAATTTGGCATTTAAAAACACAGAATGTGGGGACCTAGGGCTAAATGAAGAGTTCTTAAACTTGATACCAAAAGTACAACTGATAAAAGGAAAAGTTGATAATTTGGACTGCATCAAAATTTTGTTCTGCAGAAGATCCTATTGAGAGGATAAAAAGACAAGCTACAGATTGGGAGTAGGTTTTAGCAAGCCATATATATGACAAAGGATTAATATCTAGAATATATAAAGAACTCTAAAAACTCAATGGTAAAAAAAGCAAACAGTGTTTGCCTTGGCAGCACAGATACCAAAATTGAAAGGATATAGAGAAGATTAGCATGGCCCTTACACAAGGATGACATGCAAATTCATGAAGCATTCCATTAGGAAAAAAAGCAAACAATCCAATGGGCAAAAGACATGAACAGACATTTTGCCAAAGAAGATATACAGGAAATATATGGCAAATAAACACATGAAAATATGCACAACATCATTACCTATTAGGGGAAATTCAAATTAAAACAATGATGAGATGTGACACCCATTAGAATAGCTAAAATAAAAGATAGTGACAATACCAAATGCTGGTGAGGATGTGAAGAAATTATATCTCTCATACATTGCTGGTGGGAATGTAAAATGGTAAATATATTCAGAAAAATAGTTTGGCAGGTAAAAAACTAAACATACACTACAAAACAGCCCAGCAATTATACTCATTGGCATTTATCCCAGAGAAATGAAAACATATGCCCACACACAAAACTGTACACAAATGTTCACAACAGCTTTATTTGCAATAGTCAAAAAAATTGAAAACTGCTGCAAGTGATGGCTCATGCCTGTAATCCTAGCACTATAGGAGGCTGAGGCAGGAGGATCACTTGAGGTCAGGAGTTCGAGACCAGCCTGAGCAAGAGCGAGACCCCGTCTCTACTAGAAATAAAAAGAAATTAGCTGGGCAACTAAAAATAGAAAAAATTAGCTGGGCGCGGTGGCGCATGCCTGTAGTCCCAGCTACTCAGGAGCTGAGGCAGTAGGATTGGTTGAGCCCAGGAGTTTGAGGTTGCTATAAGCTAGGCTGATGCCACTGCACTCTAGCCCAAGCAACAGAGCGAGACTGTCTCAAACAAAGAAACTCTGGCATATCCATACCATGGAATATTATTCAGCAATAAAAACAAACAAGCTATTGATACATGTAACAACTTCTATAGATCTCAAGGGAAATATGCTGAGTTTTTTAAAAAGCCAATCTTGAAAAGTGACATACTGTGATTCCATTTATTAACATTTTCAAAATGAAAAAGTTACAGAGGGGCCAGGCGTGGTGGCTCATGTCTGTAATCCTAGCCCTCTGGGAGGCTGAAGCGGGAGGATCACTCAAGGTCAGGAGTTCAACACCAGCCTGAGCAAGAGCAAAACCTTGTCTCTACTAAAAATAGAAAGAAATTAGCCGGACAACTCAAAATATATAGAAAAAATTAGCCGGGCATGGTGGCATATGCTTGTAGTCCCAGCTACTCAGGAGGCTGAGGCAGGAGGATCGCTTGAGCCCAAGAGTTTGAGGTTGCTGTGAGCTAGGCTGATGCCATGGCACTCTAGCTCGGGCAACAGAATGAGACTCTGTCTCAAAAAAAAAAAAAAAAAAAATTACAGAGATGGAAAATACATAAGTGGTTGCCAGGAATTAGAGATAAGAGGAATGTGAGTATGTATGTATGTGTGTGTGTCTAGTTCTGTGCAGTTTTATTGCATGTGCAGACTCAGGTAATTACCACTACAATCAAGATACACAATCAAGTTCCATCACACAAAGATCCCTCATACACCCCTTTGTAGTCTCATTCTCAATAAAGGTATGTGGATTGTACTAATGTCTATTTCCTGGTTTTGATAGTATACTATATTATGTAAGATGTTACATGAGTACCTCTCCCTCCTATTTTTATAACTTCCTGTGAATCTACAATTATTTCAAAATAAAAAGTTAAAAAAAAAACAACAACAGAACAGCAGATAATCAGATGGAAATATGTCAAGCTTGATGAGGCCGGGAATTGTGAATAAAATCTAAATGTATTTTAACTGTTTACATGATTCTTTTTATGGGTCTGCAGACCACCTTCAAAATTCCTTTATTTTAGAAAAATCATCTCTGAGGATGGATGGGATTTTATGTAGCCACATAGGCACTCCTCAGGGAAAGAATATCATAAATCCAAATTGTTGTTGTTATCATAAATTCTACACAAAACTATTTACTTATTATAAATTACTTCAACAGTCTCCTCAAGCTAACCCTGAATGATTCCATCCGAGAAGGAACCATAGTGGAGGCTGTCAGTGGGTCATGGGGAAGGGAGGGTCATTCCCGGCCTCCTTTTGGACCATGTGGCCCACTGAGGCCAGGCCTGGCTCAGCTAGTTCTTTCGTCTGCCTCCTGCTGCCCCAGCCCCACCCCCACTGGAAGCCATAGTGGGCTCAGGAATCTCTTACCTGTTGAGGTCCCAGATTCTCAGGGGTGAGAAGTGCCCACAACAAGCCGTCCCTGTGACAAAAGAGCTGCCAAACAAAAGGAGAGCAAAATCAGATCTGACTTGTCAGAACTTGTGGTAGAAATGGCTTACAATTAGAAACGCCTGCTTGTTCTTCAGGGGATCCTGGGGTTAGGCCAGAATGAGAAGCATCCGAGAGCTATCAGAATTGTAGAAGACAACTTGGAGCACTGTGAGGGCTGTAGCCTCTCAGAGCTGCCTTGCCAGAGGCACTGTAGGTTCAACAACAGCTGAGCTCTGTTGTTTTGGTCTCTACCCACCACAAAAACAGATCTCTAGCCAGGCTCGGTGGCTCACACCTGTAATCCTAGCACTCTGGGAGGCCAAGGCAAGAAGATCACTTGAGATCAGGAGTTTGAGACAGGCCTGAGCAAGAGCGAGAGCCCGTCTCTACTAAAAATAGAAAGAAATTAGCCGGACAACTAAAATATATAGAAAAAATTAGCTGGGCATGGTGGCACATGCCTATAGTTCCAGCTACTAGGGAGGCTGAGGTAGAAGGATCACTTAAGCCCAAGAGTTTGAGGTTGCTGTGAGCTAGGCTGACACCCCAACACTCTAGCCAAGGCAACAGAGTGAGACTCTGTCTCAAAAAAAAAAAAAACCAGATCTCTAAATGTGCAAGTCTGAGCCCAAGGGAGAGTGAGTCTGTCAGGCTTCAATTGTATCAACCCCGGAGCACAAGGCCAAGGCACAGAAAAGGTCTCCTGAGGACAGGTTGTTGGGGGCTAGAAGATGTTGCCCTGGTTAGAGGTGAGGGTAGCTGGAGGGGCATTATCAAAGCTTTTAAGAGCTGGGGGAATCTGGTAATGTAGTATGAACACATGGCAAGTATAGAGACATCAAACTGAGAAAAGGAAAAATATGAAAAGTGAGTCAATCCTCTGGATGGGTATATGCTAGTAATTGGGGGTGGGGAGAGTAGAGAATGGGAGAGGCCAGGCAGCCAAGGGAGTCAGGCAGAATCCTCCAAGGACAATGACAAATGCTGCCAAGAGGCAGGTGAGGAGCAGGCTAAGCATATTTCCTGGAGGGTCTCTTAGAGCCCTAAAACCCCCAACATATACAATCTGCACAGGTTCATTTTAAGTGGAAGCACAAGCCCATTTTGAAGGATCAGTGCAATTGGCCAGGTTGGCCATAGTGGTAGGACTAGACCTTGAACCTATGAGCCAGACCACTTGTTTGCTAGAGGATTTGGCAGGATGGAAAGGAGAAGCCTTCAGGAAACCTGGGCTTGAAAATGTAAGGGCAAGCAAGAGAGCTGAAAGCAGTGTGTCACTCAGGAGCCCTGGGGCAAGGATAGGCCATGTCCTTACATGTCTTTCATGGGGGGAAGGAAGACTAGACATACTAATGACATGTCAGCAATGTGGGGGCAACACCCCATCCACCCTGGCCCTTCTCAGTATGATGGCTCTCTGATCCCAAGCGTCTCAGTGGGGAGATGGGTTTCCACAGAAAAGGCTCTGGAGAATCCAATGGCTTTGTCTGGGGTGGCGAGTTGGCCCACCAGTTGCTGATGGGGGAGATATTAGGGTAGGTATTAGCCAGGCCACTGATTTACAATCAAAATTGCAAGGCAGGTGTCTGCTTTCAATCCCAGGCTGATAAAGAAGCCATAGGAGGCATCCTAGGTCCCCATGCTTCAAGCCAGGACTTCCTCCAAGGACATACTCCATTTCAGCATCCTCTAGACCCGTGGGATTGCCAGCAACCACTACACCATAGAGTGGTAGTGCCAAAACAGCCACCCCTGCCATGCCCCACGTGACTCCTAGCCTAGGAAGCAGCCACTCCACTGGACACTGCAGAACCAAACTACACAGTTAGGAGGTGTTACCCTCTCCTCCCTCCCTCAACATTTTTCTCTTTAGGGTAATCCATTAATAACTGGTAAAGCCAATTACCTTGGGTTGGAAACATAATAGCCACTTGGAAATCATTCAAGTAGGCAATTGAACTCTCCAGACTTTTGAAGAGTGGGGGCCAGGTGAAGGGCGCCAGCACAGACACACAGGCATCTCTTAAGGAGGCCTGTGGCAGGCCTCTGACTAGCCACAGGCCTAAATTAGCATCAAGGTAAGTCAACAGAGAGAAAGAGGGGAGGAACACCGAACTTTAATCCCTGTCACTCCCACAGCTCTCACCTCCCAGCAGGCCAGCAGGGGATGCAAACGTCCTTCCCAGGGACCCCTATCCTATTCTCTTCTGGCCCACCCACCTCTGGCCCTGATCATCTGCCACCAAGAGGAATGCCCCTCACCTTCCTACCCTATGAAGGGCTTTCTTAATTGCCTGGACATGACACCCATAAATGTTTCTTTCCAAAAGCTGCCATTTTCCCTTGCCTAGCCATTGTGAAGTGGGAAGAGATGGAGGGAAAGCAGAGCATCTTCCTGGCACTTACAAGGCCCTAAGAGTTTAATCAAATTTAACACTCAGTAAAAACCATCAGAACAACAGTCAAGCAGATTTTGAGCTAGGTCCTGCTGAGGGGACACTCACCAGGACTCACACACCCAAACCAATGGGACTTCCCAGGATGCTTGGGGGTTAGGCTAGCTGTAGACACAGTCCTGCACACCTCAAACTACTTCCCACTACTTGTGGCCATCCTTGCCACCCAACCCATGCCCCAATTCCCATGGTCATCAGGAAGAATGAGGCAAAAGCCACAGACCAGCCTCAAAGTCAGAAGATTAAAAAGGGTATGCCCGAGTCAACCCCCTCAGAGTATACAACAGACACATGGAGCAGGGGAAGAAAAGGAATTTGCTACTCTGGAATACACAAAGGATGCTCCACATCCCCACAAGTCCACAAGATAGAAATTATTATTCCCTTTGGACATAAAGTGAAAATAAAGCAAAGGCCACACTTCTGTGAATTTACTCAAAAATGCTATGGCTGCACACACACTTAGATGCTCCCTTGAGACTCAGCAGATAAAGTGCTGTGAAAAGGGGTGAGTGGGGTTCGATTTGTACATCACAGGCGATTTCCCCACCTTAGTTTCCCCTCCAACCTCCACGGCGACTTAGCCCAAACGTAATGCTGTGCTCCGATCGCCTGTTCCATGTGCATCAGCCCCACGTCTTCAACCAGATCCTTTCCACATCCCTCACTGTGCTGGCTCACGTGCTGAGCACATCAAAGGTTCTCGGTAATAGTTGGATCAACAAGATGAAAACATGTACCATTCCTTGGATGGCTCCTCCTAAGAGACTACTCAAAGAATTTTCCCCACCAAATGCCTTTGCTCCAACCTCAATTTAGGGTTTGAAAATACTTAAAAAGCTAGCTCCTCTCAGAAAAGAATGAAAATTCAAATGGCTTTTGTCCTTAGTCACATCTCTTCTCTCAGTGGTATCCTAGGCACAAGGACATCAAACCTGTGTTGCACAGGCAGAGGCAGGAGCTGATGGTTCCCCAGGTAGGTTGGCCATCCTTCGAGTCCCTACCATGCTCATGGGACAAATGGCAATTTTTATTTATCTTCTCATCTTCCCTTTGAGATCATGGACCATCTTATGGCTCCCAGGTACTGCAATGCCCAGCACAGTGGCTGGCCCAGAGGAGGCACTCAATACAAATTTGTGGAACTGAACCAAAAGTGTCTTCCAGAGCCCAAAGCCAACATGGCTGGGAAACCTAGTCATGTGGACTGTGAAAGACAGTCCATATGCGTCTTAAAGAAACAAGTCTCAGATCACCAAACACTCAAACCTGAATGACACAAGACACAGTCACACATTGTTGGGGGAGTGAGAAGTCACTCATAAGCACCACAACCAGATAAAAGATAGAAGTACCAACAGTACCTAAAAATTAATGTCAACACACACACACACTCTCTCTCTCTCTCTCATGCACACTCATAGAGGTACACACTCTCTCCTAGTAGAGGGTCTAAAAGTCATTTTGAGTCTGTAAGCTCAACTCTTTTTGGACTAGAAAGCCCTCACCAGAAGCCAGCCTTCTACAATTTCTCATTCTGTTGCAGACCTTGCCCAGACCCTCAACCTACCTTACTTGCCCCGTGGCCCTAGCTCAGGCAAACCTGGCATCACAGAGCTCATCATCAGGCCCAAGAAGTAGACATAGATGTCTCACATCAGAGAAAGATGCCAGGAGAATTGGGGTTCTGCACTCAAGTTGAGAAATAGAAAATAATAAGACATAGTAAAGAGGAGAGGAAGTTAAGGGAAATTCCTTGGGCATGGGCAGGAAGAGAGATTCTTGCTGCTTCTGCATTAATTTAGGCCCTCTTAGTAACACTAGTAATTTACTGAGCACTTACTAGATGCCAGGTGCTGAGCAAGTGTTTCAAAAGCATTATCGCATCTAATCATCATAACACTATGCAGTAGGTACCACTTTCCCTATTATACAGATCAGGAAACTGAGGCTCAAAGAGGTAACATAACTTGCTCTAGCTCACACAGGTAGCAATTAGTGGACTGGAATTGGAACCCAGTCAGTCTTGATTTCAGACCTAGTTATTTACCATTCCTCATCCCATAACTCTCATCTGGGCTACATTACAACAATTAGTCTTGTTTGTATCCCCAGCACATAGTATAATGCCTGACACATATTGAAAATGCAAATGCTTATTGAACAAATGAATGAATGAATGAATTGACAAATGACTCCACCTGGAAGAAGAAAGCAGAGACCGAGTGGCTCTGAGGTGGAGCAGCAGAAGTGGCGTGCTTAGCAGCTGTGCCCCGTGGCTGGCCTGGAGCCGCCCAGCTGGCCCAGGCCCCAGCAGCCTGAGCCTGGGCTGACACACTTTGGCAAGGGAGGCCACCAGAGCTGTCACATCATTCACCAACATGCCCATCAAGTGTATTCAGTTCTCTTCAACCCGCATTGGCATTTTAATTACTGTTGGGTAAACTAATTTGTACAAATGAAGGCCAGGCTGCCTAATAGAATATGCAAGCTCTCTGACCTCTGACAGGCACTGACACGAGATACAAAGGCGGCCGAGGAAGGCTT